GTAGACTGCGGTTCGCGTCCCGAACCCAGTGGCTTAGAACTCACGCCAGGTGCATGTGCATGTGTGCCCAAGATCCCAAGAGGAGAAGGGATTGCGGCGTGACCATCCCCCCTGGGGGGTGATTTCTCGCTTTCTGCCTGTATGTCTTTCTCTGTCTGTGGCGAGCGCACGTGCCCTATAGTGAAAAAAGAAAAAAAAAAAAGAAACTTTTTTAAAAATAAGACTTTTTTCTTTTCAACCTCATGAGAATTTTCGTTTTTTGTAATTTCAGTAGTTGATTGCACAAATTAGAGAATAACAGGGAACCTGAACTGGGTCCCATGAGGATGCGACCTGCAAGTATAGGACTAAGGACAGAAAGGAGTCATTCCAGCCTCAACGCTGGGTTGAATTTGGAATGCAGCCCCAATCACAGTGGCTGCTTTTACTTAAGGTGATCACCAGCAAAGCATCCGGCGCGCTCCCTCATTCTGCTCTGCTTCATGAATATCCTGCCGGAAAAGTGAGGGAGAGGGAAGGAGAGACTGCCCTCCACAGCTGCCTGGGGAACAGGTCCAGACCGGGCTCCATCCTGTGTCCAGGCCCAGCATTGACCTGCTCTGCCCCAGTAGACCCCTGGTCCACTTGCCTTAAGATCACTAGAGGGATCCTCTGAGAGTAGACTGGGCCTTGGCACCTCTTTCTTTATTTCTTTTATTCTTTTTTTTTTTTTTTTTTTTTTTTGCTGTAGGGTGTGTATACTTACCAGAGACAGAAAGCAAGAAATCTCTTCCCAAGGGAATATAACCACACCGCAATCCCTTCTCCTCCATTCTCTTCTAGGGCTTTTGGGCATACATGCACACATGCCCAGCATGAGTTTAAGCCACTGGGTCTGGGATTTGAACTGTGGTTGGTTACGTGGGCATCTAGTGATGTAACCATTACGCCTAACAGTTACGTATGTGTACATTCCCTGTGTGGGCTCTTCCCTTGAACTCTGAAATGTTGGGGTCAGACCTATGAAAGGAAAGTACCAAAGAATCTAATATCATCCTTCAAAAAACTCCCCCTCTAACTGAACAAGGCCTTGAGTCCTATTCTCGCATCCCACTATCCACTGCGCGAGTGCATATCCACCTACAACCACAGTGTGATCTCAGGGAAGTCCCACGCCCTGCCGGCATTGTCTGACTCTCTGCCAGCCCACCCTGGGATAGCCCAGGATGGTCCCTGCAGAATTCCAGCATCTGTCAGCATCCACCTGGCACAGCCTCCTCATGGAACTGACCAGCATGGTCCCTCCCAAACCAGAGGCAATGAGCTTTGGGGGGCATTTGACTGAGAAAGACAGATGTTGCTTCTGAGGAAAAGAAAATGAATTTTTTTTTTCTTCTCCAGGAAGTACAACCTTCTTCACCAATGTCATTCTCTCATTAGCATTTGCAGGTACCCGCAGGGAGCCTGGTGATATCATTAGTACTGGTTTTATGGATGGAGAAATTGAGTCATGTACCAGGTCTGCGGGTTCTACTTTAGCAGCTCGAAAACAGAAGTTTTCCCTCTTTTTTGGACTGCATTCTATCTCATTTCCATAAACAAAATACTCAGGAGAATATGGCTTTTCTACTTCAAACAAGTGTCTTCTTAAATACAGTGTGATAGCTTTGGGGCACACACATTCTGTCTAGACATATGATAGCTTTCAAATACCAGATGGTTGGACCACACTCTAATGAGTAATGATTCTGGAGATGTTAGAGGAACTTTCTGGAGCACTGGGTTCCCTTAGCAGCCCCAACCAAAGATGATCTGGGGAACTTTCGTAAGTGGGAAGGTCCCATACAGTGGCTTCACTTAAGCTGAAGAACACAAAGACCAAGAAGTGAATCAAAGGGAGGCCACATTTCTACTACCATGACACTGCAGATAAGCCTGCAAACATTTCTATTTTTCAGAGTAAATTTCATGATTCTGCCCAATGAATATTTCTATCAAGCACCTTCCCTGTGCCAGGTACTCAGTCTTTATTAGAAGGGCTCCTATCCTGATGGGGGACCAGCCTAGGGAGAAAGGTGGCTTGGTCTGACATGTGCTGCCGCTCCATGAAGTGCTGTCACGTGGCCTGCACTGTCCACGTAGGGGAACGGCTCTGTCACGTTGAGGATACATCACAGAGTATGTGAGGCCCTGGGTTTCTCGGAATTAGGGTGGGGATTAGGCAAACTAGGGAGAAAGAAGTCAGGGTAGGAAGAACAGCAGATGAGAAAGACGAGAAAGCAGAAAGGCAGATAATCGTGAATTCTTTGAGGAACTCACAATGATGCAGATTAGGAAGCCTGCTGACCTCATGAGGGTGAGAGACCTTCTAAATGGTAGGTCTGTGTAGTACCAAGGTGTTCAGGATTTATCCCAAGGACATTAGGGAGCCTGTGACAGGGTTAAAGAGATCATTTAGCTAAATACCTTTCTTTTTCAAAATTATTTTATTTAACTTTATTTAATTATTTAAAGTTGATGAGAGAGAAAGAGAGAGAGAGAGAGGGAGAGAAGTGAGAAAGCCGCCAGTTCTGGGACTTGAACTGCTGTTGGACATGTGAGAGTCCAGTGCCCTTAACTACCCTGCCACTGGCTGGCCCTATCATATACCTTTTTATAGATTCTCTAGTGACTACACTGAAGAATTTATTTGGGGAGATACATAAGTCAAACTGGTAATTGATTGTCTTACAAACATAGGGCCCAGGCCATAAAAACACCCTTGTGTTTCCTGGTTCAATTACTGTAGAGTAACTAAAAAGTTAGGCCTGGAGCCAAAGAGTTTAGGTTCAAGCTTCAGCTATACCATGTACAAGCTGTGTGACCTTATGGAAGTTACTGATTTTTTCTGAGCCTCTGATTCATCTGTGAAAACATGATAACAATGGTTACACTAACATAAAATGAGATGATATAAGTAAAGTGCTCAGTGTCAGGCCCTGCATAGAACACTCAGCTCCTTAATTTACACCAAGACATACACACACACACACACACACACATAGATCTCATCAGTCTTTTGGGGAACTTGCTTGGGGGCCGTATGGAGTAACTTAGCGTGCAGACCTTCAATAGCCACAGGGCCTCCACCAGCAGACCACAAGCAACACTCCCAGCTGACTCGGCAGCAGCAGGAGCAGGCCTGACTGCAATTTGATCACGTTTCACCAAATTTGCCAAAGCTTTGTCCCATGGTTTCTGGAGTAACTTAGCGTGCAGACCTTCAATAGCCACAGGGCCTCCACCAGCAGACCACAAGCAACACTCCCAGCTGACTCGGCAGCAGCAGGAGCAGGCCTGACTGCAATTTGATCACGTTTCACTTTGTCACATGGTTTCTCAGGTCCTTGACAAGTGGAGGGCAGGGAAGGACATGGCCGTGGGGGAAAAAATAGGTGAGCAACACAGGTAACCAGGTGGCCTAGGACTCTATAGCACTGTCCTAGGTCATTGCTCATAGCATCCAGGGTCCATGAGACAGTTATTGACCTGTATTCCTGACGCCCAGTTGGGTCAGAAGCTCAGAGTGAGATGCTACCATGTTTCGTAACGCCTCTCGGCACTGGGAGAACTCGCCTGCATGTCCCAGCCAATAGCCCTCATGTCCCTCCCCCTAGCAAGGCAAGAAACCAGGGATCAAGCCCCAACACAAGCTCTTTCAAATATCAAAGAGACTGTAATCTGTGATCTAGGTCTCTCCCATAGAGGACAGTACACATGGAAACAAACAATTTTCTGTCCAACTAACAATCTGCTTTTCTTCCAAGCAACAATCTGCTGGCTATTCTTGCAACATAAAAGCTGAACCTCACCAACTACAGGTTTATCGTTCGTAAACTTACACGAAGGAATTTCGGATTAAGTTGGTCATCATGCCCTAAGATCTCACACGGGGGGCTAAGTCTAAGAGACTTCCTTCTTTGAGCCAGTCCCTTTCACATACATGGGCCTGCCGCTGTCCTGTCAGGACATGCTGTACCTGGCAATGTCACTCTGTTTTGAAACAATGCTTACTCACATGTAATTGAGAGACAAATGAATTTACGTTCTATTAACTCTATTATTTTCTCAAGAGATGTTAAGATTAGTTATTTTTTCAAAAGAAAATGGCTCTACTTTGGGTGGAGACGTGTATAGGGGTCCTATGTTTGTTCAGCTTCTCCATTTGCTCAGTCTTCAGTAACCTCCTCCTTGATTATTCGGTATCTGTGTTTGCTGAAATTAATTCTACCCGCCTTTTTGAGTCTGGTACACAGGGTGTGAGTGGGGGTCAGAGAGTGTGAGTGCTAGTTCTGATACTCATCATACACAATCCTTTCAAGGCAGACACTGCTCATGTCTTCCCCTTAGAGAGCAGCATTTTCCTTCCCTGTATCTGTGCCCTCAATTATCAAATGAGAAGTGTTCACTGATTGTCTATGCCCTCTCTGGTCCTAAAACATTCTCGAGAGTCAGTGGGGGCATGGAGGCTAAGGTGCTGGGTTCCACATGGCCAGTTGTGGCATTCGAGTCTCAGATACAGTGGTTTGAAAGTTACACTTGGCACGTGTGTGCATGCCCAAAATCCTGAAAGGAGACTGGAGAAGAGATTGTGGTGAGGCCATCGCCCTGTAGGGTGATTTCTCTCTCTCTCTCTTTCTCTCTCTCTCTCTCACTCTCTCTCTCTCGTGAGCACACGCACCCTATAGCACAAACCACAGTGAGTGGGAGTCCTTGAAATCCTGAGAAAATACAGTCATCCCTCAGGCTCTGCAAGGAATTGGTTCCAGCACCAATTAAGTATACTAAAATCTGCAGATGCTCAAGTCTCTTCTATATTAATAAAATGGCATGGTATTTGCATATACCTTATGCACGTCCTCCCATAAAATAATTTCTAGATTGCTTGTAATACCTAATACAATGGAAGTGCTATGTAAGTGGATGTTATGCTATAATATTTAGGAACTAATGTCAAAAAAATTCTGTACATATTTAGTATAGACACAGTTCAGTACAGACTTAACCACTTTAAAAAATATTTCTGATCCACTGTTGGTTACATCTGCAGGTCCAGAACACATAGATCCAGAGGGTGGACAGTATGCATTTTTACCTGTTTGACTATTCAGCTTGGTATTCTTGTGGAAACCCAAATGCTACATATGAGGAAGCAGAAATTATATTTCTGCAGACTTTCTCAGTGATTCTAGATGTTGAAATCCTAGCTCTCAATGTGATAGTATTTGGAGATGAGGGTCTTTAAGAGGTAATTAGGGGCTCTCTTTTTTTTAAAAAAAAGAATTACTTATTTAATTTTATTTGTCATTATTATTATTTTGCTACAGAACATGCCTGAGAGAGAGAGAGAGAGATAGTAAGAAAGCTAGCTGTCAGGTCTAAGACTCAGATTGCAGACTACCATGTGGGAGTCCAGCACCTTAACTGCCACGTCAACTACTGGCCCCTAGATAAGGTCTTGAAGGTATAGATCTGATGATGGGATTAATCCGTGCCTTTATAGGCAATTAGTGTCCTTATAGGAAAAGACACCAGAGAACTTGCTCTCTCTTCCACTCTCATGCCTGGAGGAAAAGCCGTGTGAGAACATAGCTAGAAAGTGAGCGTCTACAAATTAGGAAAAGGGCCCTTGTGAGAAAGTGAACCAGCCAGTTCCTTGACCTTGGACTTTCCAGCCTCCAGAACTGTGAGAAATAAATTTCTGTTGTTTAAGGCAGTCCACCTCTGATATTTAGTTATGGCAGCCCAATCAGACTAAACCAGCAAGCATTTTCTAGAATAATCATGGTGCCTTGACCTTGGTTGTCTTCATGCTGGGTGGGGGAACCACTCCCATGCAGTCCAGGAAATAGGGAATGCACCATCAAGTACGGCAAAGTGGAGGCTTTTTTAATGCCCTAGTTAAGTGAAGATAACCAATGCTGTCAGACAATTTCATGCACTGTTGGATTGTTAGGAGTAGAAATTGCCTGAACTAGACTTTAAAGAACTTGAAATAAAGCACTCAGTAGGTAGCCATAGAAAAGGAATGACTAAGACCTCCAGTCTTGTTTGGAAGCACACAGAATAGAAATTATAAAGGTGTATTAGTAAGAATTAAACAGGGAAACACATACCTCCATCAACAAAACCAGTTCCTGGAGCATGTCATTTTCAGCCCTGTACCATTTCCATGGTACAGCTTTTGGTTCTGCTGGAAATGACAATGCAAGTGTCATCCTGAACATCATATATTGTAAGTGGTATTTTGTGCATTCTTATCCTTTCAAAACTAACTCAGATGTCATCTCTTCTATGAGTTTTCTAAATGTCACTTGAAAGTGTTATTTATATATTTTTATGTTCCAAGTTCCCCATAAAGAATTTATTAAGTTTTCCTCAGGGCTGTCATTGCAACTTGATTTTACTTTTTCTTTTCTTTTTAATTCTGGCAAAGGGCATGTGCACTCAGTGGGGTAAAAAAGTATTCCCCATGGAGAAAGTTCATGCTACAATCTCTTTTCTCCCTTTTTTTTAGGATTTTTGGCACAAAAATGTGTCTGGTGTTTTTTTTTTTTTTCTTTACTTTTCCTTTTGGAATTACTTTATTTAACTTTTTTTTTCGTTATTCATTCATTTATTTTAATTTGACTAGAGAGAGACACAGAGATAGAGAGAGAGGGAAAAAATGAGAAAGTAAGCCACCATGCCCGGGACTCAAACTGTGGCCAGCCATTGTAGGAGTGTCCAACACCTTAACCACCATGCCAGCTGATGGTCCTCTGCCTGGTGTTTTTTTTCAAGCTACCAGGTCCAAGACTTGAACCATGTAGTCAGCCATGTGGAATCCAGCCAACTTAACTACCATGCCACCAGCTGGCTCTGATTTTACTTTTATAAATCATTGATCACATCATATTACAGGAAGTTGGGTATCCTTTCTGTTCTGCTGGATAGTGAACTCTCTAAGCTCTAACCTATGGACAAATAAGATGTTCAATAAATACTTGAGTGAAGGAAGGAAGGAACTGGCACTGCTTTATATATGACTCATTCCTCGTTTGTCTCGGGCATCCAAAGGCTCTTTGAGTCAGCTGCCAGACTGAGGCTCTCTGCCTCCGTCTGCTCTTCTATCATAAGATACTGTGAATAGTAGTTAAACATTGTCATTCGTTTGTCCTCAGAATTTTTAATCAGCCATGGGATCTTCCAGGAGGAAGAGCCAGTAATTTCCAAAGGTCACATAGGAAGATCCAATATTTTCATATCATTTGTGCCAACTGTTGCCCATATTGCAAAGACTTCTTGATCTGTATCCATCATGAAAGTGTCGACAGTTCACAACTGCTAAAAGACAATCCTAAGAGCATGGACTAGTACATGTTCCATGGGAGAGCTGCCCTCTTATGTATCAGGAAAGTATCTCTCCTGTAGTTTATGGCTTGATCAAAGCTTTTTAAATAAAATAAACTTAATTATTTTTGAAGCAATTCAAAAGTTAAATCTAGGACTGACTCTGCAGCACGATTTCCCATCAGCTCCTGACTCGATTGTGTAGCAAAATGATGAAGTGAGCAAGTTTTATCTTGAGTAGTGCATTTGCCCCCATTGACTTTTTCTCCTTTACTCTGTACTGGCATCAAGCCCGTGTTCTGTTCCTTTTGAATCTTGGTTATGATTGGTCTTTAACTATATACTACCTCCAAGGAAATCCCCTAATGGGCAGGTAGGGTTAAATAGTTGAAGACCGGGACCAGCAGTTAGTGTAATGGCTATGTCACTGGACTCCCATGTAGTCGACCGTGGTTCAAGTCCCGGACCCGGTGGCTTAAATTCATGCCGGGCACTTGTGCACGCATGCCCAAGATCCCAAGAAGAGAATGGAGGAGAAGGGATTGCAATGTGGTCATCCCCCCTGGAGGGTGATTTCTCACTTTTTGTCTCTGTCTGTCTCTGTCTGTCTGGCAAGCACATGTGCCCTATAGCAAAAACCTCTCTGAAAAAAAAAATAGTTGATGACCTAACAAGATGTTAGTCACATGCATATGTCACAGCAAAATGATGAAGAGAGAGGCTGAATTTTTTCCCCAGAGGTTTTGTTTGTTTGTTTTGCTATAGAGTGCATGTGCTTGCTAGAGAGACAAAAAGTGAGAAATCACTCCCTATGGGAGGGTGGCTATGCCACAATCCCTTCTCCTTCATTCTCTCGGGATTTGGGGCACAAATGTACTTGTCCCTGGTTGAGTTTCAAGCCTGCCTGCCTGCCTGCCTTCCTTCCTGCCATTCAGAAATACTTACTGAGCACCTAATTTGCCCCAGACACCGTCCTTGGCTCTGGGAAAACAACAAATAAGACTAGATTTCTGTGTCCTCATCAAGCTCACATTCTAATAAGACATATATATAAGTAAATAAACAAATATGTAATTTGGGGACGAGAATATTGTTGAGTTATCAGAAAAGTCATGATGCATTTTTACATAGAAAACTCAATAGTATGAAAAATAAGAATGAACAAAGGTATGGCAGTTAGTAAAAAATGAAAATCTAAATTAAACTAAATAACATAGAATTATCATATGATCTGTTAATTACACTTTTTAAAATATGCCCAAGGAACTAAAAACATCAACCCAAACAGATATTCGAACACCCATGTGTTCATGCCAGTATTATTTACAATAGCCAAAATGTGGACACATCCCAAATGTCCATTAGTGAGTGAACAGGTAAGCAGAAGGTGGTGTATACATACAATAAAATACTCTACAACCTAAAAAAAAAAAAAAAAATTCTAATACATCCTATAATATGGATGAAACTTGAAGTCCAAGTGCTAAATGACATAAGTCGGTTATAATTAGGAACAGCAGATGACGTAACAGTCATATTGCTAGACTTCTATTGCTAGACTTCCCGGTAGTTGACTATGGTTCAAGTCCCAGACTCAGCAACTTAAAACTCAGCTGGACACATCTGCATGGGTACCCAAAATCCCAAGAGGCAAATGGAAGAGAAGGGATTACAGTGTGGCCATCCCCCTAGGGGGTGATTTCTCATTTTCTGTCTATCTGGTGAGCACAGGTGCCCTATAGCAAAAATCTCTCTAAACAAAACAAAATAAAGGACAAATATTATATGATTCTACTTACATAAAGTACCCAGAGAACTCAAGATCATAATTTTCAGGAGCTAGAGAGAGGCGAGATTGGGCAGTTGTTTTTTAATGGGATTAGAATTTGAGTTTAGAAAGGTTAAAAATATCTGGAGATCGATAGTGTTGATGATTACACAACAATATGAATATACCTAATTCCACTAAACTGTACTATTTTTTTAAAGAATTATTTATGTTATTTAATTGTCTCATTATTTTTAAATTTGTTATGGTGTATATGTAATTTGAGGGTGGGGAGGGGGGGAAGGAGAGTGAGAAAGCAAGCCACTGGTCTGAGGCTTGAACCACGGTCAGCCATGTGGGAGTCCAGTGCCTTAACCACTTTTCCACCTGCTGGCCCTTGAGCTGTACTCTTAAAAATGGTTAAAATGGTAAATGCTTTGTATATTTTAACATAATAAAAAACATGGACAACGGGCTAAAGTAGGAAGGCTATGACTTAGGGTTGTCTAGGAGAATTCTGCTGAAAATAAGGTGACATTTGAGTAGAGACAGGCAGAATGATGAGAAGAACATGGGATGATTTAGGGAAGCAGGGACCAGCAGTTAGCGTAATGGCTATGTCGCCGGACTCCCATGGAGTCGACTGTGGTTTGCATCCCAGACCCGGTGGCTTAAAACTCACACCTGGCGCATGTGCTTGCGTGCCCAAGATCCCGAGAGGAGAATGGAGGAGAAGGGATTGCATCATGGCCATCCCCTCTGGGGGTGATTTCTTGCTTTCTGTCTCTCTGTTTTTCTCTGTCTGTCTAGCAAGCGCACGTGCCCTATAGCAAAAACCTTAAAAAAAAAAAAAAAGATTTTTTAAGGAAGCAATTCAAGTGCAAAAGAATGCCTTTGAGGGCTTTGATCAGTTAAAGAAGCTGATGTGATTTACCATTTTAAAAGATCATACTGCTATGTGAAAAGCAGACTGAAAGGGAGGAAACCTGGGAGCAAGAAACCCAGTTCAGATACTATTGCAACAGTTGGCATGGTGGTTAAGGTGTTGGATTCCACATGTCCCACGTGGGGATTCAAGTCCCAGTCCTGGTGGCTTGAAAAACACAATGAGTGCATGTGCATGCATATATGCCCAAAATCCCAAGAGGAGAATAGAGGAGAAGAGATTGTGGTGTGGCCATGGCCCCTGGGGGGTGGTTTTGGGCTTTCTTTCTCTGTTTCTTTCTGAGTGCACACATCATATAGCAAAAACTCTTGCTAGTGATGTTGAGATAATGAGGGAGGAAGAGTACAGTGGTTGGATTGATTGGGTTTATTCAAGGCAGAGTCACGATGACTCACTAATGGATTTGATGTGGGTTGTGAGGGGAAAAGATACATGAAGGATGATGTCTCCTTTGGTTTTCAGCTGAGCAACTCAGTGAATGGAGGATCTCATTTCCTGAAATGGAAATGACTAGAGGAAATGCTACTTGGGGAATGAGAAGAGGCATGGGGAGGTAATTAAGAGATGTGTCACATAGAAAGTGAAGTCGCAAGTCCCACTTCCTGTAGAGTACTAGCCCACAGACGCCCTTTATTAAAGAGTGAGTCAGTGAATCTGTGAGTGAATGAAGCTGAATGGATACATGGAGGGAGCACAGAGAGAGAAGAAACTAGATCTAAATTTTACAAAGTCTGAAGGAGAATATTTGGCAGAATGATATGATCATAGAATTGGGGGGCGCAGGGTTCCAGTGTGAGAATATTTCCATACTTCAGATGACTCCTTCCAGTTTTCATTCGGAGACCTCCTCATCTTTCCTCCTCCATGGAAAACATGCTCACGCATTTCCTTGTCCCTATCCCACGAACTCACACTGCATAACTGCAGAAAAGATAGCCCTTGAGGCAGGGAACAACCAATCAGTGGGCCCCTCTGGCATTGCCATGGGGTGGAGTGGGACTGAAGTCCCTCTGCATAGGCAGTTCCCCGCCCTGCTAGTCACCACGCATCACCAACCACACCTTCCTTTCCACACTCACACACAGCCTCAGCATCTTCGCAGGCATATGGAGGTGACCCCTTGGTAGGCCAGACAAATTGCTGTAAGTCAGTTCCCTTTCAGCGTCTCACTGTCTAAGAACACGGTTTTAAGCAAGCAAGGGACAAGATTAATGCATTCCAGTTACTGGCTGGTCTGAGTTGACTAACCCACTAATTGCTCTTACTGAGAGCAAGCCCTCAGGTGGGTTTTACTGAGGCTGGCAAGGGGAAAGCAATTAGTAAAAAGAAAACTCTGTAAAAAGTCACCCTCAGAATTATGGGGCCCGTGTGAAATGAGACATACCTGTGAAAATCTCATTAAACAGCCACAGGGCACTGGCCTTGCCTCTGCTTCATGTGTTATGTAGTTCTCACCCATTAACCACTTTTGTCCTGCCTCTTCCACAGGATTGAGGGTACAGAGTGAGCCCGTGGCTACATCAACCCTCTTGCCTATTTCACTTCCGGCAAAAATTACCCCACTGACCCCCACCTGGACTAGCTCACCACAGAACACCGCTGCGGTCACCACCTCCCCAGACAGCGGCAGCCACAGCAGCTCCGTACCCCCAGTGCCAGCGTCTGCCCCAACATCTCCGCTTCCCAAGAACAGTTCCATAGAACCTAAGGTGGGAGCCACCAGCCCGGCTTTGAACCAGGAAGTCACAGACGTCTCGTTTACTGGATTATCATCCACAACTGGGGGGGTCCACTTCACACCCACGTCCCCGGAAGAACACGACCAGAGCACTGCAGAAGCAAGTGTGCCCACTACAGGGTCACAGTCTCCCACGGAGCCCTCCACAGTCACCTCCACTCCAGCTCCAGCCTCATCCCCGTCATCTCTGTCAGTTTCACCACCTGAGATTTCTTCTGTCCCCGTCACCTCCAACCACAGCTCCACTGCGACGAACATACAGCCCACAGGAGCTCCGACTGCACCAGCATCTCCGACTGAGGAGCATAGCTCTGGCCACACACCCACTTCGCATGCCACGGTCCAGCCAGAGTCCAAGGAGAAAACGCCCCAAGCCACTGTTTTAGAACCAGAGACGTGTGAGCTGATGGACACCACCACCGCCTCCCCCGTGGTGATCATGCAGGAAGTGGAGCATGCGTTAAGCTCAGGTGAGTCTCCATCGAGACCGGTAGTGTTCCTGACCACACTAGCACGCTAGGCATGCCGCTCAGTGAGCCAAAGGTATTTGATTGAGTTTGAATTTTGGAGTGCAACACCTGGATTATAATTCACAAGAATTTCCACAAGAGTCCAAACTTTATACGTTTATTTCTTCCATGAGTGAGAGAGGCAGAGGTGGACAGCGCTCCCGACAGGGTCTTGACACCATGATCCAATCCCCAGCCCCAGCCTTCCCCGGATCACAGGCATATATATGCCCAGCTCACTTAGGGCAGTCTCTGGATGTGAACCCAGAACCTTCTTATGTGGGTTAGCTCTGAAGAGCATCACATTTTACCGCTGCACCATCATCTAGCTCCATAAACTTAACTTTTCATCATTTAGTGTTTTACTCACTTAGTCATTTCCACATAGCTTATTCATCGTGGCCAGTTGCCACCTTTATGATTTCACTTCACCTGTTGTCACAGGAATTGTACGCAAATGACACTGTGTAACAAAGGGATCACCAGGTGGCCTTTGTTCAAGCTCCTTAGCTTTTAGTTTTGACTCTGATCTTCAGCAAGTTACTTGTCTCTGTGCTCTTATGTCATCTATAAAATGGGGATGAAACGGGTTCTGTCACATACAGTTTTGAAGATGAAATGCGATGGCACGTAAAACACTTAGAACAATTCTCAGCAGGGAGTAAATGTTCAGGAGATGAAGTCATTATTACACTCAGGGTTTTAAAGAAGTGTTTACCTCTTGGAACCAGTCAACATGAACGGAAAGTGGGGAGATCATTCTGTATAGTCCTGGTGTATTTCATGGGAAAAATAATAAATTTTACAGGATGTTGCATTTTTTTTCTATTTTCCCAGCCATGCTGTAAAGCCAGTATTATTATCTTATTTTTGCAATCTTAAAAGTTATGGCAGAAAGAAATTTAGGGTCATTTTGAGTCTGTAAGCATCTGACATTGATGCAAAGCCAGGAAACTTTAGGATACTCAGCAGGGAAAAGTCATGGGAGCGGTTGGCCACTTGGTTGAGAAGCAGTGAGGTAACAGCCAGAAGAGGAAATGCAACTGTGGCCTCCTGCCTGGGTAGTCCTGAGAGAAGCATGAGTGGCAGTAGAATATCTGGGATAGAACCATACATGACAAGATAGGATTATAGAAGACTGTCACTGATGAGAAATTCACATCATTGAACAAACAACCAGTAAACTATTGAGTCGTCGGAAAAGTCATGATGCATTTTTGCATAGAAAAATACGTCATGACTTTTCCAACAACCCAATAATAATGCGAATGGAAACTGTGCTAGACAGTGGAGGTGGAAAGAGACAACCCAGACTCGCAAAGACATGACTCTCCATGGAAGAGCTCACGATGTAGTAAGAGAACAAGAAACTGTATGTACTTAGCTCAAAAGACCAGTGTATTAGTGAGGGTCCCCAAAAGGAAGAGAGAGCGTTCACATTAGGATAAAGGAGATAACTACAAAGGTCCGGCTGGGGTATGAGAGCCAAGGAAATCGGAATGTTCCAGGCCTGGCCTAAGGGAAGTAGAAGCAGTAACCAACACCCAGAAGGAGAGAGCCCTGAATCAGAACAGACCACCTTGGCAGGAGCAGCGACTCTTACCCGAGCAATACAACTAACCCAACATCAGGGGATAAATGTTCTGCCCTTCCTTCCCCCTCCTCCCTGATCTGCAGCCAGAAGCCAAGGCTGAGGGAAGACACTGATGCAGTCCACACAGGTCAGCCTCCTGGAGGGCTGCTCAGAGAGCCAGGTGGGATGGGTGGGAAGTGGATCTGTAAAGGTGAAAGGAGGAAATCTGTGCGGTCCCTTCCCATGGCGCCCTGCTTATGCCTGCAGGCCAGCACTGAGCACACCATGCGTGGATACGCACCTTGTGTGTCTGTCACCACCCCACCCCCCGCACCCCTGTTTCCAGTATGCAGGTAACATCTCCCACGTAGACGACATACCTGGAGAGAGTGGGTGCTGACTGTGACTCGGTGTCTCAAGGGCTGTCTATGAGGAGCCACCAACATGCAGGCTTGCAGGCACGAAGGAGGGAAGGCCCACCTCTTCTCTCCTTCCTGCTTCAGACGCTCACCGATACCAGCGTGCAAACACTTTTCTGTTTTCTGATTGGCCCTCCTCTCCTCACTCTCTGCCTTTCCAGAATATGCAATATATGGCAGTTGAATATTCCTGAGCACACATTCTGCGTTTAGCATGCTAGAATCTCCACAATCTGATGGAGCCTACGACTTTTTACTAGTACCCTTGTTTTACTAGTACCCTAATTTCATGAGCCACACTTTCTGTTTCAATAGTATGAGTTTGTTTTTGTTTGTTTATTTTCTTTTTTTCTTCCATGTGTCTTGATTTCCACTTTTTTTTTTTTCTTTTTGGAGATATTTTCACTGTAGGGCGCGTGCGCTCGCCAGACAGACAGAGAGAGACATAGAGACAGAAAGCGAGAAATCACCCCCCGGGGGGATGGTCACGCCGCAATCCCTTCTCCTCCATTCTCCTCTCGGGATCTTGGGCACGCACGCACACGCGCCCGGCATGAGTTTTAAGCCACCGGGTCCGGGCCACGAACCGCGGTCGACTACGTGGGAGTCCAGCGACATAGCCATTACGCTAACTGCTGGTTCCCTCCACTTTTTTTTTAAGAGGTCTTTGCTATAGAGCGCATGCGCTCGCCAGAAAGACAGAGAAGAAAGCGATAAATCACCACTCAGGGAGGATGGCAACACCACTATCCCTTTTCTTCCATTTTCCTCTTGGGATCTTGGGCATACAAACATATGCGCCAAGAGGTCTGGAGCTTGAACTGAGGTTGACTACATGGGAGTCCAGCGACGTAGCGATTACACCATCTGCTGGTCCCGATTTCCACAATTCTAAGCAATCAGATCAAGAAGCACAAAAGTAGTTGGAGAGTCGGGTCATGAACCCTCAACGTGGAAACATTGTCCAGGGTAGGGATTCTGGAGTGAATGAATGTCCAAATGCTTACCCGGGGAAGCGGAGGGAGATCACTGAACACAAGCCAGTGTGTTTCATAGACCAAAGAGTAGTTATCCCTGATGATGTATTAAATGTTAAAAATACTATACATGTACCAGGACTCTGCCTGATGCAAAGAAGTGTAAGATCTGGTTTTGGGAATCTGTAGTTCAAACGGAAGAAGGGCACAAGCATAAGGAAGCCTTGAGGCTGCTCCGTTGTTTCTAAGAGAGTGATTGAGGTAAGTGGAAGGATCTTTGGAACAGTGGAATACAATCTGTTCATTTTAAAGGTGAAGAAATTGTCCCAGAAGTTTAAAGAGCCTTGCTCAAGGTCACACAGCAAGTGGCAGAGCTGGGCTCAGCGCCCAGATCCCTAAATCACGGTCAAGTCTCTCACCACTCAGCACTGTTCCCCTGCTGTCTATCAGCCAGCAGACCCAGCGGCACTGAGACTGTGCCTCCGGTCTATTTTGGGATGGTCTTGTTTAGAGACTCTCACACTGCCTATAGTGATAATGGTAATAACACCACAGGGTCGTATACCGTTTTGTCTCATTCCGTACGAGTTCACATAGAATTTTTTTTCTCGGTCTCTCTTTTTAAAAGAATTATTTATTTGAGGCTGGAAAGTGGTGTGGTGGTTAAAGGTGCTAGACTACCACATGGCTGACTGAGATTTAAGTCCTGGATCTAGTGGCTTGCTTTCTCACTTTCTCTCTCTCTCTCTGTCTGATCAAACTGAAAAATAATAATAGTAACAAATAAAGTTAAATAAAATTTAAGAATAATTATTTATTTGTCATTACTTTTTTTAAAAAATTAATTTTCTACAGAGCATGTGAGCTCCCCAAAGACAGACAGAGAAAGAAAGTGAGAAAACAAGCCACCAGGTCCGGGACTTGAACTGCAGTCAGCCATGTGAGAGAGCAGTGCCTTAACCACCACTCAATCTGCTGGCTCCACATAGACTATTTCTATTAATCCAAGGACTCATTCACTCCACAAACATGTAAACATAGTAACCAATGAATAATTCTGAGTTCGATTTTTAAATACATATAGGTATTTATTTATTTTTTTATTTGTTGTGATTTTTCAAGCCGCTGGATCCAGGACTTGAACAACAATGAGCCATGTGGGAATTCAGCACCTTTGAACACCACACCACCTGCTGGCCCATATTTCTGAGTTAGATTGGACTGGAGGGATTAGGGATAGCTTCTTGGTAGAGTGAGGTATGAGCTGAGCAGGAGATAATAAGAACTTGGGCCTAAGGCAAGGTAAAGGAGGATTTGGGCAGGAGAGTTTTAGGTTCTTAATATGCAGAGGTAAGGGCTCAGAAACACAGGTAATGCTGCATACACCTGGGCTCATGTGTCACCCAGCAGTTGTGAACTCTAAAAACGCTTGAGGAAGCCAGCCCCCCCCCACCGCCCGCCCCACCATTGGCAAGCCTAGTGGTTAATTCTTAGACCTCATTCAACCTGGCCTTCCAGAATCATGACCACTGGAGTCTCTAAAGCACAGTCCCTTCTTGACCTCCATGGCATGTTCTCTCGTGGTTCTTCACCTACTTCACTGGGTGCTTCTTCTGTCCCTCTTCACCCCTCACTTTCCTGCTCTGTACAGGCGGAGCACCCCAGGGCCATGACCACCCTCCACCCCACTCGCATTGCCTCTCTGCATTCATGTCTTCCTCCTTTTCTTCCCTCCACACACTCATGACTAAATGCCATCCTTACACTGATAACACTGAGACACAAAATCCTAAAGATGTGAATATCCAGCTGTCAACCAATTCATAATCTCTACTTGGAAGGCTCATGGGCATCTCACACTTAAGATGTATAGGATGTATACTGATGTCTCTTCACTCTCAGTGGCTGCCCCTTTGTCTTTCCCTCTCCTCTCTCCTTTCAGTTCCTCAGGCCAAAAGGCTTAAAGTAATCTAAACTCTTTTCTTCCTCACA